GGGGGGATGGAGGGATGGATGGAAGGATAGACAGGTAGGTAGGTAGGTAGGTAGGTAGGTAGATAGATGAGAGACAGATATGGATGGATGGGTGGGTGGATGGATGGTTGGATAGAAGGACGGATAGATAGATAGAACGGATAGATAGATAGATAGATAGATAGATAGATAGATAGATAGATAGATAGGCAGGCAAATAGATGATAAAGACAGACAGACAGACATGCTAAATTGCCGAGAGATCTTTGGTCACCTTTAAGGGATGCAAGAAATCTAGAAAAGTTCAGAAGTTGAATTCACACAACCTCCTTCACTCCTCAACTCCCTGAGTGCAAAACCTGACATCCCACCGCCCAAAACAGGCACAACGCTGCAGAAAAACCTACCGCAAACATAAGCTCAGTTAAGTTGCCATGAACCCAGAAAAAGAAAGTTATCTGGTGGTAACCTGGATACGTTTTAAACACACCTTCCCCCCCAAATTGTCCCTGGGCTGGACAGTAAGGTCCCCTTAACCACTGTTCAAATCTCACCGGCTCAAGGTTGACTCAGTCTTCCATCCTTCCGGGGTAGGTAAAATGAGGACCCAGATTGTTATATATATATATACATTGCTTACTGGTGTACACCGCTTAGAGAGTGCTTGTACTTAAAGCAGTATATAAGTCTCATAAATAAATAAATGACCTGCCTTTGCAAAATATCTAACTGGGGCCAGCTTAAAAACCTGCATTTACAACCACAAGCAATGCTGTCTTAATCTTAGCTTAGATGGACCTCGCCCACTTGCTGCCTCTAGGATCCAGTGCGTGGCACAATTCCCAAAAAAATCCAAGTTCCTTTGCTAATTAGATTATGAGTATGTGTGTTTATTTGTGAATGCACACACTCCCGTTGGTGGATACACCAAAGAAGATGAACCAGACACCGCTGGATATGTGCAAGACACAGATTTTCTATATGGCACCACCCATTTGCTGTGCATAAACCATTTTTTTTAAAAAAAAAAAAGCACATGTGCTCGCACTTCTGAGGTAGACGGGAGACAAAAAAAGCACTTAGCTGCACGCGTGTCACATTAATGTCTTCTTCCTCCATCGCTCTGCACACGTCGGACTCATTAATTCCCTATCAGCAGCTCAAAGGCACACAAATTACACACGCCCAATCTATTTGCCTAGTTCATTGCTCATCTGCTGCGTTCCTTACTTCATTAATTCTGCATTGCCCTACACACTGTGCGATTGTATTGTTGAGCATTGCTCAGCTTCAAACGCTTTCCAGACTCACATTTGCACATCGATACGTGCGCCTGAGATCGCGTGTGCACACGCTTCTCTGCCTTCCAACCCAGTGCAAAGTGTCCCCATGTTGATTTTTTTTTTTTTTGCACCGAATCAATTGCACATCAACCTCACACCGGCAATCGAATTTTCAGTCTGTTGTGTCTTCACACAAAATCAGCTGAAAAAGAAGGGCCTTTAGGATTGCACAAACAACCCCCCCCCAAATCCTGGAAGATGTTCAACATCCCCATGTATGGCTTAGAGGACTTGTATTGATGGAAAATCCTCAGCTAGAAAGGGCAAAAAAATCTCTATTACTTCATTTGGGTATCTGTGTTATCTAATTAAAAAAAAAAAATCATATTTTCAATTCCTTCCCCAAAACATGGCTGATTCTTCTAAAGTCGAAGGCAGAGAGGCCCGACTGGTTATTTGATAAAAGGATTTCTCTGCTGCTCATTGGAAAAATCCCAAATCAGATAACAAATCTGATTAAAAACCTTTAAAAACAAAATACAAAAGAAGGATAAATACCAAGCCTACAAATATTAGAAGGGCTGGCTGGGAAAACACCTTCCTATATTTCAAAGAATTGAAGTGGATGGCAGTATCTAACCAGCTTTAAATAACTCAGATAGGATTGCCTCTCATTAGACCTTGGATAGGAGACCACCAAAAAAGCCTAGAGTTGCAACAAAAAAAAAAAAGAGGAAATTATAAAAAAGCACCCCGGGAAAAAAAGGATGATACACTGTGGAAGATAATACAGGAAGATAATATACTTTATCCATACATTCACCAAGATTCTCTCTTGACTTGAGGGGGAAACTGTTATTAACTTTTTTATAGCTTGGCTCACTTCCTTGAGCTCCCCACAAGACGTTACTCAGAACGGATTGCGAAAGGCATCAGGACGCCCGCTTTGGCTCTGCCCTTGAGATTTATTCAGATATAAAGGAGGAAAAGAGTCTCATTAAATCAAAATGCTTCTTTTTTTTCCCCCTTCATCCCTCTCTCCAGCTGCCAGAAGGCAAGTTCTTCCCTCCAGGAGCAAATGCTTCCCCAGTTGAATTTCTGCCTGTAGTGCACATCTTTGACAAAGCACAGGGGCCCTCCCAGAAATGCATTAGCACAGTGGTTCTCAGCCTGTGGGTCGGGACCCCATTTGGGGTCGAACGACCATTTCATGGGGGTCGCCAAACAACACAGTCCGCCATTTTCTTTTCCCCTTTTCCTTAGCTGTGCTCCTCCCTTTTATTCTATTGGCTTTTGAAAGCCAATAGAAGAGACTCTCTTGAATGGAGTCTAATTCTATTGGCTTTCCAAAGCCAATAGGAATTGTCCAGGCTGTCTCTGCCCTGCTGAGCCCGCCAAAAGTCCCCTTCTGCAAACGGTGCTGCACCAGTTGAGTAGTCCTCGACTTACGACCGGTTGAGTAGTCCTCGACTTACGACCGGCTGGGGGTCGCGGCATTAAAAAGGTTGAGAACCCCTGCATTAGCAGAAGAAATCAATGAGCACGAAGCGGATAGAATAAAAATTGCCAGCTTTGAAATTCTAAATTAATAAATAAATCTACACAATGGGTTTGCATGCCTCTGCTCTTTTCCAACCACAACCATGTATCTCTTTCTCTCACACACACATACACACACACATACACAAACACACAAACAGAGTTAATGAATGCACTTCGAGTGCCTCCCTTTTGCATTTCCAAAATCGTCCGGGTGCAAAATAAATCCACGCAGGACAGACACACCCACCCACACCGAAGCCCAGCTAGCCCAGCTCATATCGCATCCCCGTTGCGGTAACTGCACAACAGCAGGCTCTGGCAAGCAGCGGGGATTAGACTTTCTCCCCCAAACCCAGTCCTGGTTTACATGCACACACACAGAGACACACACACAGCAGTACACAAAAGCCTCTACACAATGCCCAATCTTTGTGTTTCTTTTGCAAGGAAGATGCAGAATGGAGCAGCGGTGCCCAGACTTCCATCTGTCTCCAGGCCAGCTTCGGACTCACAGAGGCCACCCGTTTGCTGGGTTCACACAGATATGGGTACCCGGGGTAGCGCACACAGGCCTCTCTGCCTTCAAACCCAACGCGTCTTTTGCACCGATCAAAAGAATCGCACAACACTGTGCACAGTGCACTACTAGCACTGAGGATGTTGCCTAGTTTGGGAATGAAATGTCTGCAAGGAAACAAGCAAGCTCAGAGGGCACTGAGGATCCCACAGCTTCCTCCTCCTCCTCAAACCTCACTCCTTCCAGCACTGATGATATCACCTAGTTGGGCCATGAATCGTCTGCAAGAAAACAAACAAGCTCAGAGGGCGCTGAGGATCCCACAGCCTTCCTCCTCCTCTTCCTCCTCTTCCTCCTCTTCTTCTTCTTCTTCTTCCTCCTCCTCCTCCTCCTCAAACCTTCCAGCACTGATGATATTACCTAGTTGGGCCATGAAACGTCTGCAAGGAAACCAGAAAGCTCAGAGGGCGCTGAGGATCCCACAGCCTTCCTCCTCCTCTTCCTCTTCCTCCTCCTTCTCCTCCTCCTCCTCCTCCTCCTCCTCCTCCTCCTCCAATCTCACTCCTTCCAGCACTGATGATACCACCTAGTTGGGCCATGAAACGTCTGCAAGGAAACAAACAAGCTCAGAGGGCGCTGAGGATCTCACAGCCTTCCTCCTCCTCTTCCTCCTCCTCCTCTTCCTCCTCCTTCTCCTCCTCCTCCTCCTCCTCCTCCAACCTCACTCCTTCCAGCACTGATGATACCACCTAGTTGGGCCATGAAACGTCTGTAAGGAAACCAGCAAGCTCAGAGGACACCAAAGACCCCACAGTCTTTTCTCCTCCTCCTCCTCCTCCTCCTCCTCCTCCTCCTCCTCCTCCTCCTCCTCCTCCTCCTCCTCCTCCTCCTCCTCCTCCCTCCCTCCCTCCCTCCCTCCCTAAATCTCTCCTTTCTAGCACTAATGTTACCTAGTTGAGTCATGAAACGTCTGCAAGAAAACAAGCAAGTTCAGACAGCACCAAGGACCCCACAGTCTTTCTCCTCCCCCTCCCTCTCCCGCTCCCCATAAACCTCACTCCTTCGAACGCTGATGATATCACCTAGTTGGGCCATGAAACGTCTGCAAGGGAACCGGCAAGCTCAGAGGACACCAAGGACCCTTCATTTTCAACCCCGAGCTTCAAATATTCTCCTTTATTGGCAATTGCACATCAAACCTCCCAGCGACAAGCCGTGGCATCGGCTGTCCTTTGTTGGGGGGTCTCCGCACAAAAGCAGCCGAGAAGGCGACTTTACGGGCCGCAGAAGCAAACGCCCCCACCCCCACCCACCCCAGTTCCAGCAGGCTGCTGAGCATCCCCACGTGCCCAAGAGAGAAAGGCAGGCACCGCCATCCAGGATGTTCAAAAGGCCCCCCACAACCCCCCCCCACAAAACACACACACACAAAAGGCTTTTACAAAACCTTCCACGGGATTTCTCCCGCATCTTGGGCGCGAGACACGGGTTTGAGCATCTCCACGTGCCCAAGAGAGAAAGGCAGGCACCGCCATCCAGGATGTTCAAAAGGCCCCCCACAACCCCCCACACACAAAACACACACACACACAAAAGGCTTTTATAAAACCTTCCACGGGATTTCTCCCGCATCTTGGGCGCGAGACACGGGTTTTGCCATTCGCACAGCCGACTCCTACCTGCTTCCAGCCATGCCTCCCGAGACACTTGCGGACACCTTCAGGGTGGGCTTTTCCACAGACATCTCCCCCCAAGGCCGGGCTTGCACCCACTGCTCTACTTGTGGCCGTCACGGTTTTTGGAATCCAAGCGGACAGGCTGGTGGTCTCTCTTAACTACCACGCCGGGAGCAGCTTAAGAAAAGAGCTTCGGAAACAGGGCAGTATAAAGGGCGTCTCTCTCTCTCTCTCTCTCTCTCTCTCTCTCTCTCTCTCTCTCTCTCTCTCTCTCTCTCTCTCTGTGTGTGTGTGTGTGTGTGTATGCGTGTGTCTGCGGGTGTGTGAGATAGAGAAAAGGAGAGAAAGAGAGAAAGAAAGGGCGAGAGAGAGAAGGAGAGAGAGGGAGGGAGAAAGAGAGAAAAAAGAAAGAGAGAAAGGAGGGAGAGAGTGGGGGAGAAAGAGAGAGGAAGAGAGAAAAAGGGAGAGAGAGAGAAAGAGAGAGAGAGAGGAAGAGAGAAAGAGAAAGATAGAAAGAAAGAGAACGGGAAAGAGAGAGGAAGAGAGAGAAAAAGGGAGAGAGAGAGAAAGAGAGAGGGAGAGGGAGAAAAAGAGAGAGAGGAAGAAAGAAAGAAAGAAAGAGGAGGAAGAGAAAGAGAGAGGCAGAGAAAGAGGAAGAGAGATAGAAAGAGAGTGGGGGAGAAAGAGAGAAAAAGGGAGAGAGAAAGAGAGAGGGAGAAAAAGAGGAAGAGAGAAAGAGAGGAAGAGAAAGAGAAAGAGAGAGGCAGAGAAAGAAAGAGAAAAAGATAGAAAGAAAGTGGGGGAGAAAGAGAGGAAGAGAGAGAAAACGGGAAAGAGAGAGGGAGTGGGAGAAAAAGAAAGGAAGAGGAAGAGAAAGAGAGAGGCAGAGAGAAAGAGAAAAAGAGAGAGAAAGAGATAGATAGAAAGAAAGAGGGGGAAACAGAGAGGAAGAGAGAGAAAGAGAGAGAGAGGGAGAGGGAGAAAAAGAGAGCGAGGAAGAGAGGAAGAGGAAGAGAAAGAGGCAGAGAGAGAGAGAAAGAGAAAGAGAGAGAGAGAGAGAGAGGGAGGGGGAGGGAAAGAGAGAAAGGAAGAAAGAAAAAGCGAGCGAGGGAAATTCAGGTCCCCCCCCCACTTTAAAGGCACCTGAAAGGACGACGGATCCAATTCAACCTCCTGAATTTAATTCGTCCCCCTGACTAGACCTCTCGCCTGTTTTGGCTGAGGCTTTCCTAGCCTCTTTTTTTCCCCCTTTTTTAAATTTGTGCCAGCCTTTTCTGCCAGCTGACAAACCCCCCACAGCCCCGCGCGTGGCAAAAGGGGGCCACACTCTGCTCCCGCCCCCCACCCCACCCGCCCCCACCCGTCGCGGCTTCGTGCACGACCCCAGAACGCTTTCGATCGCGGGTGGCAAACGTGTTGCGAAGTTTGCTAAAAGAAAGAAAGAAGGAAGGAAGGAAGGAAGGAAGAAAGAAAGAAAGAAAGAAAGAAAGAAAGAAAGAAAGAAAGAAAGAAAGAAAGAAGAAAGAAAGAAAGCCAAAAGCGTCTGGTATTAAGGGCTGCTGCCGGCGGGTGTGTGTGTGGGGGGGGGGAGGTTGAAGCGTTCAGCATCCGCCCCCACCTACCTCGGATGGCTGGCTGCCACCTGCCAGCTCCAGGTGGCAGCGGCTTCCTCGCCAGCCCCTTCCCCTCCCCTCCCCAGCTTCCCCCCCCCTTGTTGGTCACCCACGATCTGCCACGTTCTCCCGGGGACCCACGCCGGCTGGCACCTGGATCCCACCAGCCGCTCGATCCTCCCCCCCCACTCCCCTCCCCCACAAAGCTCTCCGCTGGATCGCTGGCTGCTCGCTGCGCTTCCTAGGCGCCCCCTCCCCCCAAAGCGAACCGTGGCTCCTTTTTTTCCTTCCTTCCTTCCTTCCTTCCTTCCTTCCTTCCTTCCTTCCTTCCTTCCTTCCCCAAATCCTTGCCAGAGGGTTTCCCCCCCTCCTTTCTTTTCTTCGGGGGTGGGGCTCTCCTTTGTCCCCACTTACCCCCCACCCCACCCCACCCCTTCCCCACCCCCCCACCGTCTCGCAGATCTAGGAGGAAAAAAAAAAGAGGGATGGAAGGGGGGGGGGAAACAGAGAAAGAGGAAAGAGATGGCCCCTGGCTTTGCCAGATGGCTTTCCTGCGTGCTCTGGAAGGAATGGCCAGCCGCCCCCACACACCCCTTTTTTTAAAGGGGCTTCCCTCTTTCCTCCTCATTCCCCCTCCCCAGAAAGGGTGGGGGGGGGCAAGACAAAAACCAGAGAGAGACTCCCCCCCCCGTGCTTTTGCAAACGGGGAGGCTGCCCTGCCCACCTCGTGTCTCCAAACGCACCTGTTTTCCGCACCTCCCTGGGTTGTGGGTTTTTTGCTTTTGGGGGGTTTTGGGGGGGGTGTTTTGGCGCACGCTGCTGAGAAAAAAGCTGGAGGGAATCCAGGTACGCCCCCGCCGTTCCCTTCAGCCCAGAGAGGGAGGAAGGAAGGAAGGAGGGAAGAAAAGAAGGAAGGAAGGAAGGGAGTTAGCCAAAAGGGTGTGTGGAGATGACAGGCAGGTAGATCCAGGCGAGGGGGGTGTGTTTCTGGCTGAGGCTCCAGCTTGGAGGAAGCTGGAGGGACTGGAAGTGATTGGAGGAGATCTGGAAGGAGCCCCCGCCCCCCCAAGGAAGGAGCATCACCAGATGGAAGGCGGCAGTGTGTGTGTGTGTGTGTGTGTGTGATCAGGAGATAGATCGCTAGGGAAGGTATAATAAAGGGGTTTGGAAAGCTGTCACTGCAGGGAAGTTTTAATAAGGCCACACCTGGAATCCTGCATCCAGTTTTGGTCATATTAGAAGACAGATGTTGAGACTTTGGGGAAAAAAAATGCAAAGAAGAGCGACTAAGATGGTGAAAGGTCTGGAGACTAAAACATAGGAAGAATTGGGTTTGGCTAGCCGAGAGAAAAGAAGACTAGGGGTGTGACACGATAGCACAGTGGTTCTCAACCTTTTTAATGCCGCGACCCCCAACCGGTCGTAAGTCGAGGACTACTCAACCAGTCGTAAGTTGAGGACAACTGGTGCAGCACCGTTTGCAGAATGGGACTTTTGGCGGGCTCAGCAGGGCAGAGACAGCCTGGACAATTCCTATTAGCATTTGAAAGCCAATAGAATTAGACTCTATTCAAGAGAGTCCATTCTATTGGCTTTCAAAAGCCAATAGAATAAAAGGGAATAAGGAAAAGGGGGAAAAAATGGCAGACTGCGTTGTTTGGCGACCCCCGTGAAATGGTCGTTCGACCCCAAATGGGGTCCCGACCCACAGGTTGAGAACCACTGCGATAACAGTATTCCAGTAGTTGAGAGGCTGCCACAAAGAAGAAGGGTGGGGGGAGATCAACTTATTTTCCAAAGCACCAGAAGGCAGGACGAGAAACAGTGGATGGAAACTCATCAAGGAGAGAAGCAATCTGGAATTCAGGAGAAACTTCCTAACCGCAAGGAGAGTTAACCAGTGGAACTGCTGGCCACCAGAAGCTGTGGAGGTTTTTAAGAAGAGACTGGATAGTCACTTGTCTGAAATGATATAGGGTCTCCTGCTTGAGCAGGGGGCTGGACTAGAAGACACCACCACCCCGTCCCTTCCAGCTCTATTCTGATTCTGAATATTCTGAAACATCTGCACCAGGACGCATCGATCAATGGGTTATAATCGAGGGAGTGAAAAACAGGGTGGTGGGAGAGATCACAGACAAGCCAAGAGGAAAAGAGAGAAGGAAGGTGGTCTGCCAGCATGGGGAGGGGTGGGGGTCTTCACACTAAGCCCCCAAGGCAATTTGCTTCGTTCCACCTTATCGGGGGGGGGGTCGTCTTGTGAATCTTGTTCTTGGGAGTTATCAGCCCAGGGTACGGCTTGGCGGTTGATGTGGATCTAGACCAGGGCTTTTCAACCAGTGGTACGGGTACCACCTGTGGTCCATTGGCACCTGGCAGGTGGTACGCGACCATCCTAGAAAATTGGTAGCAAGGGAGGGGAATGAGCTGAACCGGTGGCAGCCCCGCACAAGTCTGAGCGAGAGACGGCTGGAGCTGCAGGGCTGTCAGGGCTCAGCAGAAGCGCCAGGATCAGCGCCAGCATCCAGCTGGAGCTCGGCACTGATCCTGGCGCTTCTGCTGAGCCCAGAAGAAGTGCCAATCAGCTGGAATGTTGCAGCCTCTCCAGGGTCTTGTGATTTACATTCAGATGCTTGGCAACTGATTCATATTTATGACGGTCACAGTGTCCCAGGGTCATGGGAAGTGACCAAAACCTGCTGCAACCACCCAGCAGACAGGGGGAATAAAAACCAAACACCCCCCCCACCCCACCTCCGTTGCCAATCCTCAACAGAAATGCTCACAACAATGAAAACCTCGGACAGGAGGAAGAACGCCACCAGGTGGGCAGGCAGGTGTCTTGCTCAGCTGTGGTTTGGGGGGCACTTTTTTCAGTGCCATTGTAACTTCAAACAGTCACTAAGCGAACTGTTGTAAGTCGAGAACTATCTGTACTTTATCACTTTTTGGGGGGCGGTCATCAAGTTTTTCACACCTTGCTGGTGGTACTTGGATGTTGCCATATCCTAAAAGTGGTACAATGGTGAAAAGGTTGAGAAGCCCTGCTCTACGATAATTACATTTCCAACAATTTGGCCTTCGGTTCGGATACATTTTGGCTAATCTTGCAGGGGCTAGTTGCCAACGATATAGCATTTCATATTGATTTTCCTTACATGCACCGGATTTTGTTATTTTGTGATTTTTATTCCAAATTCTTTCCCAATCTTCTAATTCTATATTGTGCCCTATGTTTTTTGCCCATGCTTGGTGGCTATGCCCTGAAGCGAAAAAATATTGGATTAAAATACAAGGGTGGCTACAAGACTTAACAAAATGTCAAATCGAATTAAATCCGGAAACATTTCTCCTGGGAATATTTAAAAAGAAATTAAGATATCTGATTTTAACATATACTAACTGCGGCAAGAATTGCATTCGCGCAATATTGGAAGGAATGCAATATACCACCAGAGGGGTTGATTATTCAGAAAATTTATGAATGTGCCGAGATGGACAAACTCACCTTAGAATTAAAAGAAAAAGATGATTCGGAATTTTATGCGGTTTGGGAAAATTGGTATATTTGGATAGCCAATAGAAACAAAAATTG